AATCAAGTTGGTTGGCTCAGCAGTTTGTACATTTAGACATGTGTTTGCAATAACTTGGCATATGTCTCTTTAGTTTGTCACGCAGAAGCTATTTCAGGAGACCGTGAGATGCAGGTGCTGGGCTGTGGCCATGTAACCTCATGTGTGCCTTCACCCAGCCCCCTGGATTTCTAGAATATTACTGCAGGGGCCTTGAGGCTGGGCCCCCTTCTGGTCCTTGGTTTTCTCATCTGTGCAATGGGTTGCTAACAGACTATGAGAAGCCATTCAGAGGCAAGCCAGGCTCTATGCAGGCAAGCTCTGCTTGGGCCATGGGTGAGTAATGGGAGCGCAGAGTGGAATTGTTGAAATACGGAAGTAAAGTTCCATTTCGCAACTTGGGTAGAGGCAGTGAGACCTCAAGTGAGGCCTTCCATGCTCATGGAGTCTGTGTTGTCCCCTAATACCCCAAGGCTTTTTCTTGTCTATAAACAGCCAGCCAAATTCTGTCCTCAAAGGACACCCCATCCAAATGGGACCCCCTCTTTCAGTTCATGGAGGAGATGTGTGTGCCACCAGACAACCACAGTGGCTGCCTTACACCAGGCAAGTCTCTGGAGTCCCTGGCTCTGTGTGGTCATCTGTAAATCAAGTCCAGGGAGATCCAGCTGTTGGGGTTGCTGTAAGGAGGATACTCATGGAGCCCCCAGCAGTGCAGTCAGGAGCCATAAAGAGGTTTTGAGCCCAGAGACAAAGTTCTGAGGATGTCTCTGTCCAGAGAGCAGCACTCCAGCCACCTGTTAGCAAAGGTGAGCCAGCAGTCACCTCTCTTGTGGATTTTTCTAACAGGGCCCCTCCCTTCACACAAGTCCCAAAGGGCAATTTCCTTGCCTTCTCCCGCATAAATATTATATGCAAGTATTTTTAAGTCATTTCATCACCAAAAGAAGTGATTTAACATAACTATTAGCCTGAATTCTTCATGAAATATGCATCAAGCAATTAGGTTTAAAAGGGAGAGGTGAGGCCCCATCACCCTGCTCCCCGGCTCCCGGCCGGCAGCTGCAGGCTGAGTGATGTTTTATTAAAGCTGCGATTATGAGGCGGAGCCGGGCGGGGCTGTTATTAGGCCCTGCACAACGTTTGATAATCCTGGTGATGAGGAGGAGCTTTTTGTGATGATAATGAGCAATTTGAACACCGTGACAACCTCAGCACCCCAGCCTCTGCCAGCCACACAAGACTCATTAGACAGGTCACCCACCAGAGACACTTCCAATTGTGACTCCGCTTTCACAAGATGTTCTATCAAAGGAGAGGGGCTGACACAACATGGGCAGTAGCCCATCAGAGCTTCCCGGGGACCAGGACCTAACTTCAAGAGAGAAGGGGAGGGAGGAGGCTCAAGGCTCAGCCCAGAGACCACCCACCAGGCTCTGGGCACATGGACTCTAGGTTCAGGCTGTAGCCCATTCTTGCCATGTGCCCCAAGCCAGAGTGTTTCTCCGTGTGGCCTGTTTCCTCCAGGGTACCTCAAGAGTGTTACAGGAGGTGGTCCCCATCTTCTTCTAGCTCCAGAAGCATTACTGAACTGCTGTCACGCCACTGCTCACATTACATCATGCCATCTGGCGTGTCCCTCTGTCTCCATAAAAATAGAATTTCCCCATCTTTCAATTTTTTTCTTTTGACTTTATTGTGAACTGAGTAAAGGTAAACAGACAAGATCATCAGCCTCATTTTCAACCAATCGTACGGTTTGTTTCATCTCAGTGATTACACTCCCTTCCTTGTAACAACAATTACCTTGCTCCCACCTTGTGGCTTTCTGTCTACATCTTATTTTTCTCAAATGAACAAAGCAAAAATGTTTGATGTGTATATTCAAAATAAAAATAAACATATATTCATTTAAATGTCCAAAGGGCACATTTTGAAGCCAGCCTCCTGCCTGCCAGCACACAGCCTTTCTCAGTCCTTGGGCCTAGAGTCCTCAGCTGCTCCTGCCACCATCTCTGCCAACATTCTCAGACAATTTGTGTGTGGAGTTAGGGGTCATCCCTGACAGCTGTTTTCAAATCTTCCCCCGTTGGTAGGTGACATCTCACTGATGGGGACTGTGGCCAATCAGGGTGACTACTACAACTCCCCTTGTAGGTGTGTGTGGAAGAAACCTTTGCATTGCTCAAGGACTGGCAGTGAGTCTGCTCACCTCTCCAGTGCTATGACCTGCGTGACAGACTTCACACTCGTGCTCCCCTTGGCTGGTGGCCCCAGGGGCCTCGTCTGTTGGGACTCTGTAACCTTGATTCTGTGTGTGCCTCTCTTGGGCGTTCACCCACAGTCTCACTGTGGGAATGAGATCCAGAGACAGGATTCATTCGCTCAAGGTCTGATGGCTGTAACTTCACATGGTACCAAGGTTTGAAGTTCCAGCTCTGGGTAAGACCCACTTGGCCCCTGATTATCGTGTGACCTTGCACTGGACACAGGGCCTGCCTCACAGACAGTACCCAGAAGCCTTAGCAGCCCTGCAGGTGACCCTGGTGGGTATCCAGTCTCAGCAATGGAGGGAGGCTATGTACGTCCAGGCAGCTTGTCCCACAGGACCTAGGACCTCAGAGATCATCCATTACCTGCCCAGGATACATGAGGGCAGGGGCTGAAGCCCAGGGAGGCATGAGATGGCCCAGGATCCAGAGGGTAGCAGAGTACAGTGGGTGATCCCAGGAGGATCAAGCCCAGGAGCTCACAGGTCTGAGTCTGGTCTTGGTCTCTGAGCTTCAGCCATCACCTTCTTGCCCATTCAGCACAGCCTGGGTGAAGGACGTAAATAGGTGTGTGTGGGAGGAACAAACAGCCCAACCAGAGAGTCAGGAGTGACTCTTCTCAACCTGACAACCACAGGTGGTTTGTAGCCCGGGTGGCCAACCTGCACCAAAACCTGGAAACAGAGGCCCTCGCTTCAGCCCCTAGCCCTGGCTCAGAACTGTTGCCACCCTCACTGCCCACCTCTTTTGCTGGGTGTTTAAAAAAAAAAAAAAGCAGTGTGAAAATGCCTCCTTAACCTGCTAATACTTTGCTTCACCTCCTTATAACCTAAGTACCCCACCTTCCTGGCAGGAGCCCTCTGTCACAGTATACATGCAGCCCCACTCATAGAATGGAGAGAAGCAGGAAGCCAGATTCACGCAGAGGGCAGTGATGTGCCCAGGGTCACACTGCCCTGCTGCCCTAGCTGTGACTCACACCTGTGACTCCGTTCTACAGCTGGGTCCTCTATCCCAGGCACACCTTCTATGGGCATGCCTTCGAGAGCAGCACTTTTAACTCTTCTGCTGTTTTCTTGGAATCCCTGGATAGTACAAGCATTATGAGCTCAGCCGCTGATTGCAAGGTTAGGTTAGGGGTTCACGTCTACCCAGAAGCGCCTCAGAAGAAAGACCTGGAGATCTCCTTCAGAAAAATCACCCACTGAAACCCTATGGAGCACAGTTCTACTCTGACACTCATGGGGTCATGAGTGCTTTAAGCCATTAGAGTCCTTGTAATCATCCCACATAGATCGATGCATTTTCGGTTTCTTCATTTAATGCACACAGTTTTCTTCCTAGCAGCCTAAGCAAGAGCACCTCCTGCTTCTCAGAAATGTTGAGATTATTCTCTGATGAAATGACCCTTCTTCACTGAGGAGCAGAACTTGCCACAGGCTCTGTAATTAGAACATAGCCAGCCTTAAAAAATCTTGATTTAAATTTCATTTCTTTACAGAATTATTCTCTCTTGAAACATAATTGCTCTCCGAACGATTTCCTTTAAGCCAAGGGTGACATCTCTAAATACATTATTATGAGCAGATGTATTGCTCATTGCCTGCACTTCATTAAGCATTTGTTCTGCCCATTTGAAAATTGTCCTGGAGTCCAGATTAATGTATTGCTAGAGCAGGCGCTGGTGGACTTGGAGGGGCCAGGCTGTATTCATGCTTCCAGGACCCTCACAGCAGCAGCAGAGGTGGGAGAGGCTGCAGCATCCGCTTGCATGGTGCTCTTCACCCCCTGGAAGCCCAGGGCAGACGTTACAGAAGGTGGCAGGGGCCCAGAAGTTCCAGCTTTCTAACGAAATGTGAAGCATTTTCAGGTGTGGTGGCAAAATCATAATGATCATAAAGTATTCCCCTCTCACTCAGCGACTGTCTCATTGTTTAACATTTTCTCTTTATGACAGTGTTGTTAAGTGCAATCAAGTCAGTTCTGATTCATAGTGACCCTGTGTAGGGTTCCCAAGGAGCAGCTGGTGGGTTTGAACTGCCAACCTTGTGGTTCATAGTTTAGTGCTGGTCCTACAGCGCCACACCAGGTGTCCATAGTTTTAAAAAAAAATCTGTTTTGCCCATAAGTTGAAGTGAGAAGTGTATTGGCATCAGATCATCTTCCATGATCCGATGTGGTCATCCTCCATTTTTGCATAACGCTGATTTTCACGTACCAATGTGGTCTTTAGAACCTTAGCATATTTCTAGGTGATCTGAGTGGGCAGGGACACAGCAGCTTAGGCAAAGACAGCTTGATGGAGGAGTGGGTGAGCTTATGTGGCTGGAGGCCTGGCATGAGGTGGGAGAGGCCCACTGGGACCAGTGATGTCGGCAGAAGTGAGACCCCTACCACTGATGAGCTGTGTCGTGCACAGCGGCAGCCGTTTATGCTGAAGCCTGACTGAGGCTAAACATGAACCGTTCCTCAGTGCAGCTGTTTCAGCTGGGCCTGGGCCTGGGCCTGGGCCTGCTGTGGAGGTCCTCCTTCAGCTGCTCCTTGGCTGACCATGTCTCTGCTCCAGGCTTTGGAGTCTGCACGTTAGCAGGACTTTAGCCAGGGCCAGAAGGGCTGTTCTCCAGGGGGCAGTGAGTCCGCAGAACAACCTTGTTCAAAGCTGAGTCGATGGTTCTCCAAGACGGCGCTCCCTACCCCTCCACTAACTCTACCGTCCTGCTCATCTTAATCATCTATGTGTTTTCTCCACAGGAGCAACCAGGGATTTATGCACATGAAACTGGCCAAAACCAAAGAGAAGTACGTCCTGGGTCAGAACAGCCCCCCATTCGACAGTGTCCCTGAAGTCATCCACTACTATACCACCCGGAAGTTGCCCATCAAAGGGGCTGAGCACCTGTCCCTGCTGTACCCCGTGGCTGTGCGGACCCTGTGAGCAGACCAGCCCTACCTGCTCTGTGACAGAGCTTGAGACTTGGAGGAACCAGAGGCCCCTGGGGCCCTCCTGGCCCTGCCAGCGTGTTCAGTGTGTGTCATGTGTATGGTACTAGCACATCACTGCATGTCTCTAGAATGCTGTTGCCACTCGTGGGGGCTGGCGAAAGCCTGGATCAAGACAGAGGGACAATGAACACGCCACCCCAGCCCCCACCCCACCCTTCCTTGAGTTTCTGTGAATTAAAATATTTGCAAATCCAAAGAGATGTCCTCCAGGATGAACAAAGGCAGAGCTGCTCTGAGGGCGGGAGCTCCCTGGGTTGAGTCTCTTTGTTCTCCAGCTGTCACGATGTCACACCTGTGTGGGGAACAGTTTCCCACCAGGGCTTCACAGGCGCCCGAGCCAATTGCTGGTACCGTGAGAGCCCAGCGGGCCCCTCGGGTGTGTATGTGTGTGTGTGAGTGTGGGCACGAAGTGAGCACACGGCCACACAGATGCGAGTTCACTTGAAATCTATTCGTAGTCACTCAATGTAATCGGTAGGAAATCTTCAAGGAATCATTGTGCAGTTAAAAAGAGGATTCAATTATTTATGAATAGGGTGTGTAAATAAAATAGTCATTTAATATATGTTCTTATTCTTTTTTTAATAAATAACACAGGGTCCTGGGGGCTGGGCAGTGCTGGCCTGTGTGGTATGACACTGCAGGGGAGGGTTGTCCCCTAACTCGGACCCTCCGCAGTTCTGGCCACCAGAACAGAGTGGTGGGCACTCAGGGCTGGAGGAGCACCACTTGCACAGAGGAGTTGTGGCGAGCCACAAAAAGATGCAGCCAGACCCTCCAGTCCATCTCAGTAGACTGGGTTCCGAGCTGGGCTGTATCCACCAACCAGGCTTCCCGTCTGTGCTAACAGTCCCTGTGGTATACTGCCCCTAGCGGTCTACAAGGACGTTCCTCCCAGTCCTCTGTTCAGTGCCACCTGGAGGCTGTGGGAAGTGGGCCATGCCCAAGGTCACCTAGCAGGTAGAAGCAGGGCAGGTAGGCTCCTCCACTCTGTGAGGCCTTGTCACCCACACTGTCACTGCACATTTCAAAACCACCTACAGACACACACCACCTCTGTCCCTGTCCCCCAACGAGCAGAGACTCTTCACCATACACTCAGGCAGATGCAAAAAAGGGAGTGAAGTTGCCTGTTACTCAGCTTCCCTTCCTTACGCACCCACCCATCCCCACAGTTCCGTGCGGAGTGAAGCATCATACCCCATAGCAGAAAAGGTGAGGCTTCCATCCACTGAATGATCTATGGGGTCCAGCGCCTTTGAAGCACACAGCATCCTGCCTGCCTGCTCTGAATGGACTGAAAGTTTGGGGAATGCTGCCCCCAGTGAATGTAAGATCTAGACCATCAGCACTGTCAGGACCCAAGAGAGGGGGCAGGGCAGGACTAGACGGGGTAGGTGTCGTGGATTTCAGTAGTATCCGGTCAAAGCTCAGTGGAGTTTCCTTGGGTCATCCTCCTGGGTCTTTGTTTATTTGCCCATCAGGCCCAGCAGCCCCTGGCACGTGTGAAGCTAGCCAGCCTACCTGGGCTGCGTCTGGTCTCCAAAGATGCCAGTCCTGACCCTTGGCCTGTTTTGCATTTTCTAAAACATCCTTCAAGTACCTGGAGTGGCCCATACTTTCTTTTTTGTGTGTGAATGTCAAAATGAGTGAGGAGTTGGCACTTTGCTTGATGCCAAGGAAGCCGCATTAAAAACAGGGTGTCGGGATAGGGGTGACTTCTCCCCAGCTCCTCCCCTCTAACAAACAAGCTCCGAATTGGTCTATGCAGGGTACTCTAAGGCCGCAGGGCTGGGGGTCACTGGACCCTGCTCTATAGACAGTTTTCCGAGTACATTTCTCCTCAGGAAAGGCTCCAGGCCCGTGGTCTGAGTGCTCTGCCCTCCTCCGTCTCCCTGAGGCTCCCCGGGAAGCCTTGGGCCTGGGTACCAGCAGAGCAGCCAGCTTACAGGATGGGAGCCGCTAAAAGGAATTTTTTTTCCTTAATTTTATGAACCTCTCCCTCCTCTTCTTCCTCTAATTGTGACCGTTTCCTCTGTCAGCGTGTATTCATGTTTTCTTGGACATCTAACAATTGAAACAGCTTTTCCCTTTCAGAAACACTCACATGCAGGTTACCAGCGTTGGTTTGGATTTTGTTTTGGCTCTTTTTTTTTTTTTTTTTCATCTGCTGCCAATTAATGGGAGTAAAACATTGAGCTGGGTTTCTTTGAGGAAAGGAAAAAGCTCACTGCCACACAATATCTCGCTCTCAGCATTTTGTATTCTAACACAACCTCCAGCCGCTAAATAAAGGGTTTTGCTGCCTAGTCACGGGACTGTTTTTTCTCTTTCCATCCTTACCAGCTTCATTATTGACTATAATGCACGGGCCACTTCAGTGGCTCTGTCCTTGAGCTCTGAGGAGTCAAGGGCCTTTTTGGCAGTCCCCCAACAAAGATGGCGTGTCCACAGATTGAAAGGACGCTTTGTGGGGGCCAAAGGGCCCACCTGCCTCTTGATCTGCGGTTCTCTGAAGCATGTAAAGCAAATGTAACATCCTCTCCTGGAGAGAGGTCACAGAGCAGCCTTTGCACAGGAAAGTTGTGGGAAAGGAGCTAGTCTTCAGGAAGGCTGGGCTAATTGGAGTTGAGCTGTGCACTTCCTCCCAGGGCGGCTCTGCTCTGGTGCCCCTTCTATGGCCTGGTGAGAGCAGGAGGGAACTCCTAATCCAGCGGCTAGCAAGGCCTCCCTCCCCAGCAACAGGTGGAGCCCTCTGGGGGGGCAGGTGTCCTAGTAATCCCCTCTTTTAAGATTTTGAAAGGCTTCAAGTTCTGCCATGCCTGAGAAGTGGCTGATGTCACCTTGGCCAAGAGCGTAGCAAGGGCAGACAGCCTCCTGTGCATACAAAAGTCTCACAGACAGGCTGGCCTCTGGAGTTAGTCCTGGTGTCACATACCAGCCAGCTCATCCTCTGTCACATCTGACTCTTCACACTTGCCAAGCAGTTACCACCAGCAAAGGCAAAATGGGGCACGGTGTCCAGAGGGCGTTGGTACAGAACCCACAGAGACTCAGTCACCAGCCCTAAACCTCTCCACCCCTTCTCCAGCCCCATTTCTCAGGGGTGTGTCACTGCCCGGAGCCTGGTACCCACCACAAAAATGTGTGTAAAGTTCTCATTCTGTGTGATAAATTGTACAATGATGTATATTTAATGTGAAGCATTTAATAGACAAGTGCCCTGGTTTAAATGCACTTCGTTGAGACTGAATGTTTTATTTCCTAATGCAACCCTGTGCCCCAGGAAACCTTTTGATTGCTCCTGCTTTGTAAAGGCTGAATTTCCGAAGTCAATCCCCAGAGGTGGATTGTTACAGGAAAAAGGAACTTCCCTCCTTCCTAATTACAAAGACATCTGAGTCCTAATGAGCTCGTTAAAGTGGAAACAAATGATTTGTTCAGCAAACATTCACTGAGTGCTACTGGTCCTCAGGCCTGGTGGATATAGAAGTGGATAGGACCCAGCCCCTGACCTCAAGAAGTTCCCAGTCTGGGGATGGGGTGGGGGGGTTTACGACAAACAGGCTCTAGTAGAGATAGGTCTGGAGTCCTGGTGTGGTGCTGTAGGATAAACACTGGATCATGAGGTCCTTTGAACCACAGCCACTCCTTGGAAACACTAGTCAAGGTCCCTATGAGTTGGAATGGCACTTAATAACAGTAGAGGCAGGTCTAGGGTGTTATGGGTACCCAGATGGAGGAAGGCAGGGGTATTAGCTATCCTTGCAATGGTCAGAAGTTGAGCTTTGGGGGATGAGTAGTTAGTTCACCAGGGAACCTGGAGGGACAGGTATTCCAGGCAGACAACAATTAGAAGGGTCATCAGGGGAGCGGAGCAGGTCTGCTTCGACACAATATGCCAGGAGAGGTGATGGCAAGGCTGCTGGGTCTCCAAGGGCTTCACCTGATGAAGCCAAAAGAGTGAGAGGGCAGGGCAAGGGGCAGGTCTTTCAGAAGACTAGCCCTCCGATTTTCTGGAGGGCACTGACGTTGGCCCACAATCTCCCACTGTTTGTCCTGACACCACCATCATGACAACAGAGAGGACTCCTCCTTCACACACAGATCAGCGCCTGAGGAAGCAGAGGGTCCCCCAGCATTTCAGGGAGCCTGTATTTCTCACTTCTCTCTGGACTCAGGCGTCACCTTCCTGCATCCGATGACCAGACTCCACACTTCTGACTCCCATGCCCTTGTGGCAGCTCTGGGGGACAGGCAGCAGCTACTCAGTAGCCTGGAAAACCAGTGTCCAAGGCAGGACAAAGCGCCGAGGCCTGTGTCCTTGTGTCTTTTAATGTTCCACCCCCACCAGGACTCCGGGATAAGTGTCAGGCCAGTGCTTTGTGACCAGTGTGCCTGTTTACTGCCCTGGGGAGGTTTTATTCCCATTTAAGCTCAACGTAACCAGCAATGAGTATCAACCAGACTGAGAAGCTGAGCATGGAGCAATCTTCCACAACCAGAGTCTACAGGAAAGTGGACAGCCAGATAGCTGCCTGCCTGCCCCCCTTACTCTCGGCACAAAGACCCAGCAAGGTGGGCTGGGAACTGAGGTCCTGAGAGGGTCAGGGGCTTGCTCAGGCCACACAACAAGCCCTATCCACATGCCTTGGGGTTCTCAAGGGTAACTAGCTCATTGGTCACCAGGCTTTGATTGGCTAACACAGCTTTGGGAAGCCTCGGGTTGGGAAAATTCCTTCTCAAGCAAGAGTGTTTTAGCCAATTCCTTCCTGAGCTGAAGCATCCCAGGTCTTCAGAGACAGGTGTTTTCTCTGGATTCGGGATGAGGGGTGTGGGAGGGGACCATTTAACCCATGTAAGGAACCTTGGTTTGGTTTGGCTAGGTAGCAAGTCACCAGTGTGGTTCTGGTGTCCTCATGTGGCTGTCTTTGGCATTGCAGTCAGTTCCCGAGAGCAAGGAAGTAGAATTTGTCACTAGGCCTTGTTACAGAGAGAGAACTGAAACTCAGAGAAGGAAAATGCAAGCATGAAAAGAAATTAGTGGCAGGTGGTACCGAGTGATGGGTGAGGGGTGCTCTAGCATATGTACAAAGAGCAGAGGAAAAGACACAGGAGTT